TGGGTCACAAGCAGTATTTGGGATCAGAAGTTGGTTTGGTTCAACCTGTCAATGGGATAGAGGTAGACTGATATTTGGGACCCAGCATGACTGTCCATAACCCTCACCTGTACCTCAGGCACAGGTGAAAACAAGGACCCAAGGATCCAGGATTTTGAGATCTTTGATGTTATGTCCTTGAGTGAGCAACTTATAGACTAGCACTCTGTGGCAGTTGGGGGTGGGGGGAGAGGAGCAGAGGAAAGGGGGAAGAAAATAGCAGCAAAGAATTGAGTCTTTCACAGTTTCCTCTAATGGGTCTTTGCCCAGCCCAAATCCACCCAAGCTGAAGTTGCGAGTGCCCCTTCCAGATATCTGGAGTTACTACTCTGCCATGTAAACATCTTTAGCTCCTATTTGGGAAAAATATCCAGCTTCAGTTTCTTATAATTATTTCTCCTAATGCTCATTCATTCCCTTATGTAATTTATTTAACACATGCTTATTCAGATCCTGCCCTGACTCTGGTCCCTGGGTGATTGATACAAATGGTTAAAGTGCCTGGCTGCTAAGCAAAATGTTGGGGGTTTGAGTCTACCCAGAGGCCCCTTGGGAGAAAGGCTTGGTGACTACTTCTAAAATATCAGCATTGAAAACTCAAAGCAGCATCGTTGTACTCTGAGACACATAAAGTCACTGTGAGTCAGAATAGACTCAAAAATGACCATTTTTTTCCTCTGGGTCTATGCTAACTATATTTAAGAGAAAGGGCAGAAAAACCAAGTTAGATGTCTTTGTGCCAGCCAAGTAACAAACATTATCTTATTTAATGATCTAAATCATTTTATAAAGCAGATCTTAGGATTCCATTTTATCTATGACAATAGAGCAGTTCAGAGCAATTGAGTAGCTTGCAAGACGACCTGTGTCCAAGAAAAGGCACCATGGAAATGTAACCTGGTTCTCTGCACCCAGGTTTTTCCAGCAGTACCAAGCTAAATTTTAAGAGGAAGGGAGTTTCCATATTGATATGATAGTCGCTAGATGACCTAAATAATTTCCTTCCAAATCTTTTGTAATTGTAACCATCTGGAATTGGGATAAGAATGGGGGCTGTGGAGGGGGGGGGCATGGATTGTCATGTTGGTATCACAACATGGTAAATATAATGAATGTCTCCTAATTGTCCTCTTACAAAGTGGATAAAAGGGTAAACTTGTTGTTAGACATATTACAGGACAATAAGATAAAATAAAAATATGCCATAGTCTAATCCAGTATAAACAAGATGCCCTTTTGGGAAGGCTCTTGGAAAGCAAGCTGAAGCTGGGCCTTTTGATTCCTGGATGTATCCATTGACTTGGGAAACAGAGGCGCACATGCCCACTCCTGTACAGCATAACTAACAATATGGGGGGATGAGCTTCCATACCCCAAACTCTTCCTGTAGACTTATTGACAAAGTGCCTAGTTTTAGCTGAACTGCCGTGGACTGCTTTCTCGTTGGGCTGGAGAAATATGTAGGAATTTAATTACTGACCAAGTCTTTCCAAATTTGGGCAAGCTTGATTGGATCCTCTATGGCTGGGCTCTTTCTTTGCAAGAACTTTGACCTTGATGGCTGTCTACCCAGCACCTTGCCAATCAACACGTAACATATTTAGAAAGAAAGGTGTTTTATTCTGACTTTGTGTTGCAGCCTTCAGATACAGCCAGTAGCTGGATAATCCAGGTGAACTGAACACGTTTTGCCTTAATTGTCCTGCCCATATAGAGATAATTTTCTCAATTCTTCGTTTCATTTTGCATGTGTAAGATGAAGTCTGACTGTAGTTGCTCATGCACTATTAATTCAAGTTAACAAGCAACTAGGACTTGGCAATAAATTTGTATTTCTGGGTCAACCTTGATTTTACTTACAACCTTCACACAAATATGCTTGCTCATATGCCTCTCTTTGAAATGTACTCTGCAGACAGACATATACTCTGCAGACAGACATTATGTGGAGTCTCATACATGTATGCTATAAAATGTCTAAGAGAGATGGAAACTTAATAAGTGATTAAAAATATTTTTTTAATTGGCCAATAAGTGGAGCACCTTTTCTACCACTTGTCTCGTCGGTTTGTCAGGCTGGGTTGGCTTGCATGTTGTTGTGATGCTTGAAGTTATGTCATCAGTATTTCAGATACCACCAGTGTCCCTCCATGGAGGCTTCCAGACTAAGGCAGATTAGGAATAAGGAAGAGGTAGTCAACTTCTAAAAAATTAGGCGCTGGAAACGTTATGGGTGCTAGAAGATGAGCCACCTTAATGACATGGATGGAGCAAAGGTTTTATGACATTCAGTTGCTGCGGTAGTTACATAATCTATTGTCAATTTGAGACTATTAAGAGTGAAGAGATGGAGTTTAGCCTGTCAATCAGGTCGCAGCTTGATGACCTCATTTGGAGGCACTAAGGAGATAAATAGTTCACTGGAGGATAGATACATACTTTCTCTGTTACATATCACTGTTGACCAGCCACATGGAGCCATACTGATGGTAGCCAGAGCCTTGGAGCTGGAGGCTCCATGTGGAGATCCATGCCAGTGCTGAGGTGCCACTGTATCCACAAGACTTTCCACCCACTGGCCTGTGATCTTCCTGCACTCAGCGTCATTGCATGTGTTTCATGAGTCTGAAGAGGAATTTACAGACTGGTACTGGACATGTGGGTTTATATCGGACTTATGTACTTGATCTAGACTGGGCTGGGATTTTTTCTTAATGTACAATTACTCTTTATATAAATCTCTTTCCTATACACATAGCAATATCTATGAATTTGATTCTCTAGTTTACCCAGACTAACACACTTGCTGATGTGGCATAACTCAAAATGAGAAGAAATAGCTGTGTGGTGGTGAGATTTTATGTTATCTTAATATTACCTGTGTGTAGGTAGGCGGGAGTCTGACTTATCAATCAGGTGGTAGCCTGGTGATGCTTCCTTGGGCAGGTGGTTGTATGCTTTATGTAAGAGAGACAATGAGAACTTTTCTCTCTCTCTATTGTCCTTCTCCTTGATTGGATACTGTCTCTGCCTTCAGGGGTGGCCCCATGTGAGTCACTGACCTTGAGAGTTGTCAGTGCCCTGCCATGCTTCCACCAAACTTGGGTCCACTTGACTCTGTACCCACCATCCTAAAACCTCCCTGCTTCCTGCTTCGCCATTCTGCTTTATCAACCTGCATTTACATGATTCTGAAGAGGGCTCAGGCTAGCATTGGACCCATAGGTTTAAGTTAGATTGTGTTGTAATGTTTTCTTGATATGAAATTATTCTTGATATAAAGTTCCTTCTTATACATATATGTCACTGTTTTTTTTCTAGACAATCCAGCCCAACACAAGCTGAAAATAACCATTCATAACAGAACAAGCAATATACAAAATATGGATTTGGAAAATTGGAAATTGTCAGAAATGAAATGCATAAAGATCAATATCCTAGGCATTAGTGAGTTGAACTGAATTGGTGTTGGTCATTTTGAATCAAATATTCACCTGGTCTGTTATGCTAGGAATGACAAATTGAAAAGGGATAGTATCACAGTCATTATAAAAAGAATATTTGAAGTTCTATCCTAAAGTTAGTGCCATCTGCGATCGGATAATATAGAGATCTATAAAGAGACCTGCTAATTTGACTATTATTTAAATTTACACTCCAAACACTAAAGTCAAAGATGAAGAATCTGAAGACTTTTACCAAAGTTTGTAGTCTAAAACTGGTCACGTATGCAATCAAGATACATTAATAATTACTGGTGATTGGAATTGGAAAGTTAGAAACAAAGAAGTAAATAGACTTGAAAAATATGATGGTGGCAATGGTAATGATTCTAGAGATTGCATGATAGAATTTTGCAAGACCAACAACTTCTTGATTACAAATACTGTTTTTCAACAACATAAATGACAACTATGTTGGTAGAGCTCATCAGCTGGAATGCACAGGGACTGAATCTACTACATCTGTGGGAAAAGATGGAGAAGAAGGTCAGTATCATCAGGCAGAATAGGCCATGGGCTGACGGGAAAAGATCAATTGCTCATATTCACGTTGAAGCTGAATAAAATTAAATCAAGTACATAAGCACCAACATTTGACCTTGAGTACATCCCACCTGAATACCATTTCAAACACAGATATGATACATTGAACACTAATAACCTAAGAGCAACCAAATTATAGGGTGATGTCAACCACATCACACATGCAAAAGGTCATTCAAGACAGGAATGATTTTTAAAAGATCAGATGCATTTTAGAAGAGACTTTGAAACTCACTCACTCACTCACTCACTCACTGCCGTAGAGTTGATGCCGACTCATAGCAACCCAATAGGACAGGGTAGAACTACCCCTGTGAGTTTCCAAGACTGTAACATTTATGGGAGTGACCCTCCCCCATTGCTCTACAATATAGAAAACTAAAGAGAATGAAAGAAATTATGAAGTAAAAGAGCTGAACAGAAAACTCAAAGGGCATTTCACAAAGACCAAGTAAAACATTATAATTAAATGTGCAAATACTGGAAGTCCGAGAGCCCTAAGGACACAGTGAACATTTCTCAAGCTGAAAGGACTGAAGAAAAAAATTAAAGGTTTGAATTTCAATAATGGAAGATTCTATGGGGAAAATATTGACTGATGCAGGAGGCATCAAAAGAAACTGAAAATAATACATAGTCACTGTACTAAAACAATTGGTCGACATTCATTCATTTCATCAGATAGCATATGATCAAGAACTGATGGTACTGAAGGGAGAAGTCCAAGGTGCACTAAAGACATTAGCTAATACACAAGGATCCAGAAATGGAGAGAACACCAATAGGCATGTTCCCACAAGCCAGCATGGCACTGGAAGAACTCACTCCTCTATGCCAAGGAATTTGGAAGACAGCTCCCTGGCCCACCGGCTGGCTGAGATCCATTCTGCTGCCCTTTCCAAAGGAAGGGATTGAGGGCTCCCGTCAGCAGCGCACACACTAAATTGGAAACGATGCCGAGAAGATTGGCATGGCCCCGGAGCAAGGGTGATATGCAAATTCGTGAAGCATGCCATAGTTTTTAATAAATGAGGAGGTTAAAATACTGTTTTAAAAAAAGGAGAAAAAAAGAAAAAGAAAGGTGATGGAACAGAATGTGGAAATTATCAAACAATACCAGTAAAACTTTGCTGAAGTTAATTTTTAAAATGGTTGTGAGATCCTTAGAGATTTTCCAGAAATTCTAGTCAGATTCAAAAAAAGGACCTGGAATGATGGAGCTGATTAAAAGCAGAGAAGAGCAGATTGATGCTTACCTGTGTTTTATTGACTATGCATTGGCATTCAACTACAGGGATCATAACAAACTGAGGTAGTTAGTTTATTGTGCTAACCTGGCTGATAAACACATGTGGGATTAATTGAAGGGCAGAGGGATAAATGGCTCTGTGAGCCTTGCCTTTCACATTCTCGGGTCTCTTGCTTTGTGATGGTTGCACCAGAGTGCAGCTGCCTTAGCAGTTCCCTGCTTCAGCTGGCAAGGCTGACTTCCTGCAAGACATCCCTGAGGAGAAGCCACATGGACCTACCCCGATGCAGCCCTGGGTGCTGGAGGAGCTGTGTGGAGACCCCTGCCAGCACTGAGATGCTTACAGGTTCACTGACTTGGCTTTTCTCCTGCAGTTGGCATCATTGTGTCTGTTTTGTGAGATGGAGGAGGACTTTGTGGATTGGTGTTGGACATATGGGTTAATGTTGGACTTGTGGGCTTGGGCAGCACTGGGTTGGGATGTTTTCTTGATGTGCACTTAACCTTTATATAAAACTCTGTCTTATACATATGTTTCTGTGGATTTGTTTCTCTAATGTACCAAGACTAATACACAAACTATGGATAACATTGTGAAGAGTGGAAATTTCTGGACACTTCATTGTGCTCACACAGACAGAAGATGGAGATCACATGTGGTTTAAAATCAGGAAAGAGACTCTGAAACTGCATACACTAAAACCAGGAAAGGTGTACATCAGGATTATATCATCGCATCGTACTTATTAAATATGTATGCTGAGTAAATAATACAAGAAGATAGACTTTATGAAGAAGCACTCAACAACAGGACTGAAGGAAGACTCATTAAGAACCTCTGAAAATGCAAGTGACACAACTTGCTTGCTGAAAGTGGAGACAACCTGACCCGTTTACTGCGGAAGATCAAAGACTATCGTCCCCAGTGTGGATTAGACCTAAACATAAAGAAAGCAAAAATCCTCCTAAGTACACCAATAAGCAGCATCATGAGAAACAGAGAAAGCTTTGACGTTGTCAAGGATTCACTGTGGGTGGGTACATAATCAACACCCCCGGAAGCAGCAGTGAGGAAATCAAAGAAGATATTTCACTGGGAGAATCTGGTGCGCAAGACCCGTTTCGAGTCATACTGAGCAAAGACCTCACCTGGAGCACTAAGGTGTACCTCACCCAAGTCATGGAATCTTCAATTGCCTTATGTGCCTGTGAGAGCTGGACCCCGAGTGAGGGAGACTGAAGAAGAATGGATGTATTTACATGGTGGCATCGAGTCGATCGGGATCCCAGGGAACGCACAGTCCATGCAAGCACAGGAACAACTGTGAGGAGGGCACAGGTCTGGGTGGGCAGTGTTCTCTTCTGTTGTGCACAGGGTTGCTATGGGTCAAAACCGATTCAATGACACCTAGTGACCACAATGTGGATTCCTAGGAAAACACATAAATCTGCCATTGAAGAAGTACAGCTGATTAAAAGCAGCGAATAGCAGATTGATGTTTACCTGTATTTTGTGGACTATGCAATGGCATTCAACTATGTGGAAGATGGTGAGGCTTTGTCTCACAGACTTTCTTAGCAGGAGGGACGAGTTGCTGGAGAAGGTCAGTGGAAAAGAGAAGGACTCAAGGCAATGGATTAAGGCACTGATTGGAGCAATGGGCCCAAGCACAGCAGTGGTTACGAGGATGGTCTGAGGCTGTGCCGTGTTCTGTTCTGCGGCGCAAAGGGTTGTTGTTAGTGGCACACCACTCCGTAGTGCCTGACACTGCCACCACTTTCATCTCCATGGCTCCTTGGGAATGGAAACAATCAAGTCTGTTAGTTGTAATGCTTAGCTTCCCTTCTAGCTTCTTAGCTCAGTGAAAGCAAAAAAATGTGATGGAATGCTCACCGCCATGTACCCAGTGATGTCTGCCGACTGTTACATAGTACCTGCTCAATGCACATTTGTTGGATGAAGAAATGAAAGTAAAGTAAAGCAAATCTAAGTGTAACAAGGAAACTCTTATCTCTGTACAGTGCTTTGTCTGTGCGCCATCATCCTACAAGTCCCACCTGTTGATGGATCAGGATTAAAAATAAAAAACAGTGCCTAGAGTGGCTAAGAGTCAGAGCAAGGCCTTTGAGCTTTGCTTACTCAGAAGGAAGGTGGGCCCTGAAGAGGCAACCAATTGTCACTAAACTTCTTTGTTTGAGACACAGAGAGTTGTGTTTTATTTCTGAGAAAGAGGTAGGCGGTCCAGAGTGCAACAAAGGTCCTTGCACTGTGGTGTGTGTGACCTCTAGGGCCACCAAATCATCAGTATAATTGACCCAGCTCAACACAAGCTCCCTGTGAGTAGGGTTCCTGTAAGCCGACAAAGATGGTCCTGGGGTGACTTAATGCAGTCTCCTCAGTGGCCCTGAACTTTGTAAACCCCCCAAGGGAGAGTTTTAGGTCTTCCCAGGTTGTGGGATTGGCTGAGGTCCAAGGCAATTACAGCTACATCTCCAAGGTGAAGAGGGACACAGCCGACATGTGTGTTACATTTATAATCCCACTGTTCCAGGAAAATGCAAGCGCGAGTTATGCTGGTGCTGAGTGAGGGCCTCCGAGAGGCACAGTGTGCAATGCACTTACAGCGTTCTTCTCTGGCAGTTGGCTGGTCACCCTGAGCAGGTCAGGCTCCTCTCCTCTCTACAAACCCCGAGTGCTTCCTTTCTGAGGCCCTCCAGAGAGATGTGTGTGTCCAGGGATTCCCGTCTGTCTCCTACTACCTTTTCTACATGCCCTGGGTGCAGTGGGGACAGACCCTTGAGGACTGGGATATTGGAGTGGGCCCCAGGGGACCCACACTGAGACCAGGACCAGGTGGAGCCCAGGGCTGCTCCCAGGCTATCGAGTCATTGCATTCCAGGAATGGGAGGTCAGGTCTTGGAGATGAATCAGGAAAAGGCCCTTGAGGAAATTAGGACCCAGACATTTGAGGAGAGTTTGAGCCTGGCCTAGTTAAATCCAAGTGGAATTTTGCTGGATACCTTCATGTGTAGGTACTTCCTTGCCTGACAAGGAAGTGAAATACCTCTCACATCTGGTGCCCTGGAGTTTTGATCCTGGAGCACGTGCCCCCAGGGATACAAGAGCTGGTCAACGTGCAGTAGGTCAGGTTAACCGGTTGCTGGACGGGAAGGACAACCACCTCTCTCTCTCCCTTTCCCCTATTTATGTCCTCTGAGGATAGATACATTTCTCCTCTTCCCTTCCATTTGCTCGTATACCTTTCTCTCTCTTTTTCCTTTGGATTAGGTGCCAGAGTGTGGAGATGAAGAGGCGGGCAAGACAGACAAATGTTGGTGGGATCCATTAACAGTAAGCAGCTGCCCATAGCTCAGTTCTCTCATCCCAGTGGAAGGGCAAGCGGGGATGACTTGGGTTCCAGTTTTGGGGGTGGGGGTGGGGGATTCAAATATAACAAAGTGTTGAGATGTTTGTGATCGAGTATAATTTTAGACTACAGAATCCATTTTCCTAGCACAGATGTGAGATAAACACTGAGACTTCAATGCCCCCAGGATGCCAGACCCTGTGCTGGGCATCTAAGCTCATCTTAGCTAAAGGCTGAGGGCTACAGGAGGCAGTGGTATCAACCCTGGTATGGCAGCTCCAAGGTGGGCAACAGAAGAAAAGGTGAGAGTTCTATGCTTACAAGCAACTGGCATTTTGGTAGCAAATAGCAGGTTGGGTCATTCAAAACAGGAGGAAGAATTGATGGTGTTGGTGGAGAATGTTGACTGTATTATGGACTGCCAGAAGAATAAAGAAATTATTTTGGAAGAAAGTGCAGCTGGATTGCTCCTTGGAAGGTAGAAAGGTGTCACTTCATCTCCCATACTTTGGCTGTATGAGAAGGTACCCCCAAAACACTGGAGGTGTTTTTTTCCCCAAAGTTAAGTATTTAAATTTTTGTACAAAACACACTTATCACCTTCAAAGCACTCTGCATTACACTTAATGCATTTGTCAAATCTGCAATGGCTCCATTCTTGGAAACATTTTTCAAACTCATCTGTTTGGATGGCTGACAGCACCTCCCTCCTTTTTTCTTCACCTCTTCTATGTGGTAAAATCACTGCCCTTCATTCGAGGAAACAAAAAACAGTCACAAGGAATGAGGTCAGGTGAGTAAGTAAGGTTTATGGGGCAAGAAAGGCATGCTGTTTTTTGGCCCAAAACGGGTGCACTGAGATGGCTGTGTGAACAGGTACAGGTGGCAAAACCAGTCCCCCATGTGCCACAAATCAGGCCTTTTTGGTTGCACACTGCTACACTATCTTTTCAGAACCTCTAAATAGGAAGCTTGATTAACAGTCTGACCTGGTGGGATGAACTCCAAATGCACTGAGTCGACATTTTCATCCATTCGGGAAGTTGACGGATGTTCAGAATGAGGTTTGTCATCAAGTGACATTTCACCTCTTTTGAAATTAGAAAACTACACACACTTTTAATTTTTCC